AAGTGATCCCAAACCAAGCTATCTAAACAAACATCCCCTTCCTAACCACCAGTCATTCTTTATCCTCTTATTCTGGTTTATTTCACCTTATTTGCTTATCTACTATCCTCCCTCCACTACTTCCCAGCTCCAAAGCAGAATACATGTAGGAAAAAGTTTTCTAAATTATTCTCCATTGAATACCAAAGCTCCGTGGGAACAGAAATATTGCTAAAACTTAATATGATGAACAAAGGAGTAGACCTTATGATAAAATTATATATATATATATATATATAAAGATTTATTTTATGTATTTGAAAGACAGTGTTAGAGTCAGAGAGAGAGAGAGAGAGAGAGAGAGGGAGAGAGAAAGTCTTGCATCTGCCAGTCCACTCCCCAGATGACAACAACAGCCAGAGCTGAGCTGATCCGAAGCTAGGAGTCAGGAACTTCTTCCAGGTCTCCCATGTGGGTGCAGGGGCCCAAGGACTTGGGCCATCTTGTACTGCTTTCCCAGGCCATAGCAGAGAGCTGGATCAGAAGTGAGCAGCCGGGTCTCAAACCGGCACCCATATGGGATGTCGGCACTATAGATGGTGGCTTTAACCCGCAGCACCACAGCACTGGCCCCATTAAATTATATTAATATAACTGATCTACAACACTAAGCTGTAAAGGGATTTTTAAAAAATTTACTTATTTATTTGAAGGCAGTTATAAAGAGAAGGGAGAGAGGGAGAGGGGAAGGCAGATGGGGGAGAGGGGGAAGGGGGGGAAGAGAGAGAAAGAAGAGGAGAGGGGGAGAGAGGGAGAGGGAGGAGGGAGAAGGACAGCAGAGGGAGAGGAGAGGGAGATCTTTCATCCTTTGGTTCACTCCCCCAGATGGTGGCAATGGCCTAAGCTGGGCCAGTCCAAAGCCAGGAGCCAGGAGCTTCTCCAAGGTTTCCCATGTGGGTACAGGGTTCCAAGTACACAGGGCCATCTTCTACTGTTTTCCCAGGCACATTAGCAGGGAGCTGGATCAGAAGTGGAGCAGCAGCAACTTGAACCAGCACTCATATGGTATGTTGGCATTGCAGGCGGTGGCTTTACCCACTATGCCTCAGCGTTGGCCCTGTAAAGGGATTTCTTAAAGCTAAGTTAAGAGCAATCAAAACACATGATAGTATATAATGGAACAGAACAGTCACATAAGCATAACTGAAAAAGATCTAGAAAATCTGTTAAATTCACATAGGCTATCAATGCAACATGATTTATTAGTGGGGAAAAACAAGGATGGCTGAGGTATGGTGAAGACGTAAGTACACAGGAAAGGACAAAACAAAGGTACCAATTTATGATTCATCTGCCATGCACATCAGGAGCCAAACAAAACAGCTTTTGTATTCAGGACTGTGTTTCACAACTGAAACCCTTGATGCCTGGAATACAAGTGCAAGACACCATCAGGCTGTAGCTTCCTGGCCACCCACTCTGAGTTTAACTCAATGAATTGTGGGAGTGGTACAGCCTACCCCAGGAGATTCTAATCACTGGATTCATGTGTTAATTTGTTTTTCTAATATATAACAAGTTGGGGGTGGGATTGTCTTGAAGGGTTTTGTTTAGGGGAATCCTAGCTCAGGGCAGGGCAGAAAGCTCTAAGACTACCTGGCCAGCATAAGCATTCCCTGAAGTACAGCACTGCCAACCAGGAACCTCAACCCGATCTGAACATGTAACCAGAACGGATAACCACCGTGACTCCAACCAGCGCCAGAGGCCAACATGCAGCAGTCCCTATCCTTTGATCCCCTTAAGTCTGACTCTCCATTCCTTGTAGCCTCCTTAAAAGCCAGAATCACCCTCATTCAGGAAGGTGGAAATTCTTGAGACTCAGAGTGCTAGCCTCTTATCTGCCAGCAGTGTAAACTTTCTCTTTCCTTTGTCCTCATATGCCCTTGCTATCTTCATTCAGCACTGGGAATGGGAGTGAGCTTTCAGTAACACAACAAAAAGAATCTGGAGACTCTGGAAACAATTCAGTTGATGAAAGAGGTCAGGGTAGAGAACTCCATGGGGAAAGGTAATGTACAGGGATGTTCTGAAGGGAAGATGGAAGGAAAATCTGGTGACACTGAACGACCTATTTTCTAATCCACCGAGATTAAACTAAAAGACCAGGCTGTTTACATTAAACAGATGTGAGAGCTGGTGTTGTGGCACTGCATGTTCCGTCACCACCTGCAACAGTGGCCACCTGTATTGCCCTGCTGGTTGTGTCCCAGCTGCTCAGTTTCAGATCCAGTTTCCTGCTCCTGTGTTCAAGAAGCCAGCAGAAGACAGGCCAAGTGCATGGGCCCTTGCCACCCTTGTGGGAGACCAGGATGGATTTCTTGGTTCCCGGCTTCAGCCTGGCACAGATCTGGCTATTGTGGCCACTGGGGGAATAAATAAATCAGCAGCAGGTGGATACCTCTCCTCTCCCTCTCTGGGTTGCTCTGCCTTTCAAATAAAAAATAACTCTTTAAACAAACAAATAGATAAAAAAGATATGAAACATGGTTGAGTGCTACTGAAGATACACAAGTTTTTAGAAAACTAAAGAATATCTTGAAACTTGAGAAAAGGTCTATATTTGTTAGGAAAGGTAAGATGGGATTTTGCCCACATCTGAAGGAATTTCAAGGTTTCTTCCAGGATGACTGTGATTTTCTGACTAAAGACAACTGTCAACACTCTAACCAACACTTCTCATGACTATGACAATTAAACAGCTACCTGCTGTTTGCCAACACGGTGAAAGATGCATTAACAACATCACTTAACCTTTGTGACAATCCTACCAATTAACAGTTATCCTCAGACAGCAAGACGGAGTGACATATGCCATATATATGTGATATAATGAAGGAATCATGGTGTTTGCCTCTGATTGCTAGCACAGAGCTTCAAAACCCTTGGAATCTCCTGAATGAGAGGCATGTCTTTGTTGTGCTCCTGAGGTGACTTACCACAGGGCTCAGGTAGCTTCAAAATCTGGACTGGACACCAGAAGGGCAAGCACATTATTCAAGGATTGGGACTTTGAGCCTTGCCCTCTCACTTGCTTTGGCCTCTGGGGAGGAGACTAAGCTCAATCATTGGATCAATGACTTAACTGGTTTCACCTACATATTGAGACCCCAATAAAAACTTCAAACACCACGTTCTGATTTTAAGGGGATGGCAGGGGAGCTCAGTGCTCCCACTCTGACCAGAAACCAGGTGTATTGTTTGTTAATAAAACTAATTTTCAGCTAAGCACTTTTCCTGAGGTCTGTGAGTTATCCTAGCAAATTATGTAACTTGAGGGATCAAAGGAATCCATACATTAGTAGCAGGCTTGTCAGAACTGCACTTGTCCTGGGACGACCACAGGTGCTGGCATCTGAAGGGGGCGGGGGTCCTGTCACCTGTCACTGACTGGTGAGATCTAACATAACTCCACTAGTGTTAGAACTGAGTCACAGGCCGGCGCCACGGCTCACTAGGCTAATCCTCCGCCTAGCGGCGCCGGCACACCGGGTTCTAGTCCCGGTCGGGGCGCCGGATTCTGTCCCGATTGCCCCTCTTCCAGGCCAGCCCTCTGCTGTGGCCAGGGAGTGCAGTGGAGGATGGCCCAGGTGCTTGGGCCCTGCACCCCATGGGAGACCAGGAAAAGCACCTGGCTCCTGGCTCCTGCCATCAGATCAGCGCGGTGCGCCGGCCACGGCGGCCATTGGAGGGTGAACCAACGGCAAAGGAAGACCTTTCTCTCTGTCTCTCTCTCTCACTGTCCACTCTGCCTGTCAAAAAAAAAAAAAAAAAACAAAAAACAAAAAAACAAAACTGAGTCACAGTATATCTGGTTGGTTTTGGAACAGGTCAGGATACTAGAACAGTTACTAGAATGCAAGGTGCTACAGGCAAGACTCAAACACAGTTCTGGAATATTCTAAACAGTATTTTCTTATTGTCAACACTAAACTATAAATCATAATAACAACTTACAACTTTTCACCATAAAATGAAATGGTATATATCAAGGTTTCAATCTCCTTAATAATGTACAAGAAATGGAAAATTATATCAGTTTGACAACCCATTAAACTCATTAAAGCAACTAAAGTACCATCCACTGCCTGAAGATCCACTTATAAAACACCAGTGCAGCAGCAGCAGCAGCCACAGAGGGGCTCACGCAGAGCAGAGCCCAAAACTATACAAAGAGAAAGCAGGATCCCAACCAAAGCCACCTTCAGCATTGCTGCAAATTGAGACTTTTTCTAAATCTCTAATAGAATGCTTCAGCTTAAAAGCCATGTTTAATAAGAGTTAAAATGGGAAGGATAGGGGCATAGCTTTAGTATAAAAGCTTGAAAATCCATCTTTTAACTGAGTTGTCCCTGGTTGTTGTGTCTTGCAAGCTGGAGAGAAACCATAGGATACAAGAATACATTCGCAATAAAAAGCAGATTGGAATTGTTCTCTGCCCACAAGACTAGGCTCTGAGCACTGATATAGAGAAACAATTTCATGGAATCCAGCAAATACTACTATGCTTCTTACTAAAGCTTGCATTAGAACTTGCTAAGGTTTGTGTTTTATTTTTTTGAAAGATTTTATTTATTTATGTGAAAGTCAGTTACACAAAGAGGAGAGGCTGGTTCACTCCCCAATTGGCCGCAATGGTCGGAGCTACATCGATCCGAAGCCAGGAACCAGGAGCTTCCTCTGGGTCTCCCAGATGGACTTGGGCCATCTTCTACTGCTTTCCCAGGCCATAGCAGAGAGTTGGATCGGAAGTGGAGCAGCTAGGACTCGAACCAGTGCCCATATGGGATGCCAGCACTGAAGGCGGCAGCTTTACCTGCTATGCCACAGTACTGACCCCACTAAGGTTTTATTCAACCTGGAACCCAAAAGTAATCTTCCTTCACAGGAAATATGCAAATTATATCGTGGCCAAAGCTGCAGGCTTTGAGTCCTGTCTCTGTGAGCCTGTCCTTCCTTACCTGGCCGGTTAGTGGCTGCCATGATAAAAACCTGCTGGCGCGACTCCAGACCATCCATCTCTGTAAGCAGCTGATTCACCACCCGCACACTAGCTCCTGTCTAAAGAGAAACCAAGCTTTCAAAACAAAGGATAAAAAACAAAACATTCCATTTTATACAAGATACAACATTAATGTGAACAACATAGATTCAGCCAAGAGATTCACTATTCACAGCACTGTGCAAAATGTACTGTGAAGTCTGGATGAGGAACGAGGTGTTGGGGTTCCTTGTGCGTAGTTTCACTGTAAGGTGGTAGGGGGAGATGAGACTCAGTTCCAGGCCAACCACATCCCAAAGGCTTATGCTTCTTAGTTAATCACAGCTCAAATAGGCACAGACCTCCCTCCAGGCAAATCTAGATTCAGCTTTTGAACCCTAGATTCCCCAATATATCAGGTACTCCAGATCTTGAGCCTAAGGCTACCTCATAGCAACATCCCAAAGAAAGGTTCAGGGTGTTGGGAACCACAGGAGCATCCCTTAGATACAGAAATAAAACCAACCAAAAATGTAGACAGAAGGAGTGCTGTTTCTTTTTTTTTTTTTCTGTTGTTAATTATCTTTCTTCAACATAAACTAATGGGTTTAACTCATTCATTGATCCAGGAAAAAATATTTGATGCATCTATTACTTTTTGACAACATAACACTATTGGTCAGGAGGTTAACAGAATTATAATCTGGACTCAAAAACATGAAGATGTTCTAGGAGTAAAAAATACAACATCAATTAAACAAGACAAAAGGCCAAAGAATCAATAGAGGAAAAGCTGACAAATTTTACTATATTCTAATTATAATTCTATATAACAAAATTGAAGAGAAGTGATAAGACTAGGAAAAAATACTGTCCACTGTTGACAAAGGTGTGGGAAATGGTAATTTTCCTACACTGCTAGGGGGCACAGAGAACTGGTAGTTTCTGTGAAGGATGGTACAGTATTATAGTTCAAAGGCAGTACATACATATCTTCAACATTGATTTTCACTTGCAAAATTCTACCTCACATACTCCCACATGGGCACATAAATATGTGACATAAATATGTAGTAGCACAGCTCACTTAAACCACTGTCTGCAACTCTGAGATCCCAAGTGTGCACTAGTTGGAGTTCTGTTAATGATCCAGCTCTTTGCTTCCACACCTAGAAAGCAGCAGGAGACAGCTCCAGTACTGGGGCCCCTGCCACCCACTTGGAGAGTAAGCTAGAGGATAGAAGATCTCTGTGTCCCCCTCCTCTAACTCTGCCTTTCAAATAAACAAATCTTTATATACATACACACGTGTGTGTGTAGCAAAACCAACTGGAAAGAAAGTAAATGTTGTAGAGGAAATATTGAGCAAATTCCACCATATCCAGACTAGAACATTATGCAATAACTAAAAAAACAAGTTATTGGACCTAGGGTTATGGCATTATGGGCTACAGTGGCACCTGCAATGTCAGCATCCCATATGAGCTCCAGTTCTAGCTCCCTCGTAACGCACCTGGCAAAGCAGCAAAATATGGCCCAAGTGACTTGGCCCTGAACTCCTGTGGCAGACCCAGATGAAGCTCCTGACTCCTACTTTTGACCTGGCCATCCCTGGCTGTTGGGGTCATTTGGGGAGTGAACCACCAGATTGAAGTGCTGTTTCCCCCTCTCTCTGTAACTTTGTCTTTAAAACAAAATAAAATACATCTTTAAAAAAAATTAAGCACTTGGGAAATTGACAAGAAATACATACATATAAAAAGTAGAAGTCTAAATGATATGTGTTTTTAAGTTTATGAAAAAAGTTCTAGAAGCTGGTGCTGCAGCTCACTTGGCTAATCCTCCACCTGCGCCGCCAGCACCCAGGTTCTAGTCCCGGTTGGGGCACCAGATTCTGTCCTGGTTGCTCCTCTTCCAGTCCAGCTCTCTGCTGTGGCCCTGGAAGGCAGTGGAGGATGGCCCAAGTGCTTGGGCCTTGCACCTGCATGGGAGACCAGGAGGAAGCACCTGGCTCCCAGCTTCAGATTGGCACAGTGTGTTGGCCGTGGCAGCCATTTGGGGGATGAACCAATGGAAGGAAGACCTTTCTGTCTGTCTCTCTGTCTCACTGTCTAACTCTGCCTGTCAAAAAAAAAAAAAAAAAAAAAAAAAAAGAAGAAGAAGAAGAAGAAAAAAGCTCTAGAATGAGACACTATATGCTCACCTATCAGAAGTGATCTCCAAGAACAGAGAATAAAGAAGGAAGATTTCATTCTCTTTATACTTGGGCTTTATTTGAATTCTTCCAAACATGTATTCATGTATAACTAGTGAAACTAAAAAGGAATACATCAAATTTAATCTTTTTAGGGGCAAGTATTCGGCAGAGAAATTAACATGCTGCTTGGGAAGCCTGCATCCCATATTAGAGTGCCTGGGATCAAGTCTGGACACTACTGACAATTTCAGCTTCTTGCTAATGTGAACGCAGAGGCGGCAGATGATGGCTCAACCACTTCAGTCCCTGCCACTCACATAGGGAACCCAGACTAAGTTCCAGACTCCCGGCTTCAGTTTCTCCCAGACCTGAATGTTGCAGATATTTGGGGAATAAACCAGCAAATGGAAGGTATCCGTCTGTACTTCATATGACTGCAGGCAGGTGTGTGGGCAGTAGTGGATAAGGAAGTCCCCAGAATTAAGATTTATCAGCTGATAATAGGGAGCTGTAAATCGAGTAAAGAGGCTGTGGACAAACGAAGGCTTTATTGATGGCACAAGAGAAGGGAATACAAAGGAGGAACACCCAGAGCAAGCTAGGTGTTTCAAAGCGTGGTGCTTTGTTCTGGATCCGACAGTGGGTTGCTGACTACGACTTTTTTTTTTTTTTTTTTTTAAGGGAAAGGGTTTATTGGGGAAACCTAGCTGGCTGGAGAGAAGGGGCGAAGAAGGAAAGAGAAGGAGAGTCTAAGAGAGAGAGACAGAGAGGAGATGAGCTAGCGAGAAGAGAAGAGAGAGACTAGAGAAGAGACAGTGAGCAGGGGGAGAGGAGAGCAGAGCAGAGAACGCAGAGAAGAGAGAACGAGAGGAGAGAGGAGCCGAGAGAGAGGAGAGAGGAGAGAGAAAGAGCCATGTGTTCAGGAGAGCTAGCAAGGAGAGAAGAGAGAGTGAGCAGTGGGAGAGGAGAGCAGAGAGCACAAAGAAGAGAGAGCAGAGAGACAGGAGAGAGCAGAGAGAGAGTATGACTCTTTGTTTTTACCCATGCTACCTTCACAACATTAAAAAGCCCCTGGAAGGTGGACTCATGCCTTTTTTCTTCACTCAAAGAGTATTCAAAGATCTCCACCTAAGAAATTGATGCCTCTATTTGTATTAGCAATGCTTTCTCATCCAGTGGGCGTTGACACCATGGAGAAAAGTCTCTCATAAAGATTATCTGATAGCATCCATGACTACTGGATGAGAAAACATAATTGCTATACTATGAGTCAAATTTACATTAGTCAACTTTACTTTTTTTAGCTTTTCAATGTTTTTGGAGTTTTAGTGAGATGATGCATTTAATGAATGGTTCACACCCTAAGAACATAGATACACAGAGAGAACTATCTGGGGGGAAAAAAAAAAAACACAAAAAAACTTCCCAGGTTTCAGAAATACACCCATGAAATATACTCATAAAATGTATTTATTGGTCATTACCATCTGCTTCATGAGGTAATAATATGTCTGTACATTATGTTTCACTAGGCATTGCCTTCTTACATAATGGTACTCCTGGTGATAAATATTTCTGGCACTCTCTGTTCCTGCAGTCTCTGAGAACTGTGACACAATGTGGTTGATGCATGTGGTATGCAGTGAAGATCAATTTTGTATCTTCCTCAGACAGTAATGGTACTGGATCTTAAAGATAACAACCTGAGCCCTATCTTGAGTGCATGAAATCTTCAATTATATTTTATCTTGACAAGATCATTTAACTGAAACTATCAAAAAAACTACAAGATTACAAGACAAGTTATTCAAAATTACTATCACTTCCATTCCCAATTACTCATCTGCATAAATCAGAATTAACTACACACTGGGAAACCAAAATAATATATAGGACAGGGGGAAAAATGGATATAGAAGCTGGTACAGAATACAGCTGTTACCTCCAAGCTCTGATTTCAAATGCCCAGGTTTCTTCATTCAGTCTCAACATTCCCAAGCAATTACTGTCTATAAAAGAAGCACCTGACGTGGAACGTAGAAAAGATTTACAGTGCTTAAAAAACTGGGGAAACACTATCTGGGATATATACCTCTCGGTCGGATCTCCGGGGACACAAAGCATCCACTTCATCAAAGAATATCACACAGGGAGACGAGTTCTTGGCTCGCTGAAAAACCTGCCGCACAGCACGTTCACTCTCGCCAACATACTAAACAAACACACAAAGAAAATAAAATGCAGAGACAGGCAACTTTCGGATTTGGACCAAATGATAGCTAAACCAGCTTTAAATGGCACTTAAATGTTAGGGGTCAGAAAACATTAAACTATATTCAATTGCTGATATTAAACCATTTTTGTCCAATAAAACAGCAGGTTACATGTGGCTCAACTGTTGAAAAATCAGGTATTATTTAAACTTACTATAAATTCTCACACTTAGAAAATACAGACTAAGTGGAATGAATATAAGGCTTTCTCTGGCTAAAAAAGTAAAAATCCCACAATTCTCTTGTATTACAGATTTATCTTCTAAGGCTTACATATATAAAATACTCAACAGTAATTTTCAGTAATTTAACAGTATTTTTAATGCATTCAAGTCAAATTACTATTCTGTTCTTATTATTACATAAGTCAACTGCCTAAAAAAAGGGAAGAGCTATTTTGTCATATAGTATCAGAGAAGGCAGAGTGAGCCAGGTGGGCATCTGACATGTCTCATAATGGCTTATTGTATGTTAAAGCTACATCAAAAGATAAAATATTAGGATCAGTTAAGAATTAAAGCAGTTCAGGGGCCTGCGTTGGGGTGTAGCAGGAAAACCCACCACCCATGATGATGCTGGCATCCTGTATGGGCACCGTTTCTTGTTCAAGCTGCTTGACTTCTGATCAGGCTCCCTGCTAATGGACTGGGAAAGCAGCAGAAAGACAGCCCAAGTGCTTTGGCCCCTGCCACCCATGTGAGAGATCAGGATGAAGTTCCTGGCTCTTGGTTTCAGCTTGGCTTAGCCCTGCCATTGTGGCTACCAAGGGAGTAAACCAGAAGAGGGAAGATCTCTTTTTATATGTAACTCTTTCAAATAAATAAATAAATCTTAAAAAGGAAATACAGTAGTTCACAGGCAGCTATAATATTAGTACTATGTAATAAGAAAAGTTGTAAGGATGTGGTTTCACTTTTTAGCTATGAATAAGAAATTCTTAAAATTTCAAACTAGATGACTAAGAAAAAGCAGTTTTTTCAAAATACAACTGCTACATACAACAGAATATGAAAATATCTTTAGAGAGTCAGCTATTTCTTAATAGCTACAACTAGTATACTAGTTGGAAATTAATAGCTATAACATAATAATATATAAAATAGCTATAACATAATAACCTATAAATCAATATGCCGTCATCAGAAATAATCAAGGCCAAGAATACATCAGATTACAGTAATTAAACATTTTATTTCACTTACACAGAACCTTTTTTACCTCACAACTACCCCGAATAAATAAAAATAAATGTTCAAAAACAGAAAAAAAAAAAAAAAAAAAGAGCTACAAAGAGAGGCAGAGAGAGGGAGAGAGATCCTCCATCCACTGGTTCACTCCCCAGTTGGCTGCGACGGCCGGGAGCTGCGCCAATCCGAAGTCAGGAGCCAGGAACCTCCTCAGGATATTCCCACATGGGTGCAGGGGCCTGAGGGTTTGGGTCATTCTCCACTGCCCTCGCAGGCACAGCACAGAGCTGGATTGGAAGTGGAGTGGCTGGGACTTGATCCAGCGCACATATGGGATGCGAGCACTGCAGGCAGTGGCCCTTCCAGCTATACCACAGCGTGGGCCCCAAGAAGAGATTAATCAATAGAAGTAGTAAAGAGAATTTGGGTATAGTGAATCAAAATGACCAAGTGAAAAGGAAACCTCATTAGATTAACAATTTAATCTTAACAAAGGCAACAGTGATTAGAAATAAGCAGTTGGGGCCGGCGCTGTGGTATAGCAGGTTAAGCTACTGTCCGCAGTGCTGGCATCCCATATGGGTGCCAGTTTGAATCCTGACTGCTCCACTTCCAAACTAGCTCCTTGATAAAGCACCTAGGACAGCAGTGGAAGATGGCCTGAGTGCTTGGAACCCTGTACCTACATGGGTTACTTGGATGAAACTCCTGGCTTCTGGCTTAGGCCTGGCCTAGCCCTGGTTGCTGGGGACATTTGGGGGAATGAATCAGCAGCCAGAAGATCTCTTTTTGTGACACTGCCTTTCAAATAAATTAAATAAATCTTAAAAAACAAAACAAAACAAAAGAAAATCTTCTTTGCCTTTAGGAAGAAATATTTCAAATAAAGATCTTATTCTTGCTAATTATTTAGCCATTCAGTTTAATAATGGGGTTATTAAAAATGAACTTCTAATCATCAAGTCCAAAGCACTACTTTCAGTTTCGTTTATACTGTCTGGGCACACTGCCAGGTTGAAGAATTTGTTAAGTCGTGGGTGCATCCTCTAACTTCTATCCACTTTCAGTCTACTCTACTGGCTCTTGCCTCCTTACGTCTTAATTATGAAATCTATAGGGTCCCGTTGGAGGTTGTCAATGTATTTGTTCTTACAGTCTTTATTATTATTATTTTGACAGGCAGAGTGGACAGTGAGAGAGAGAGACAGAGAGAAAGGTCTTCCTTTGCCGTTGGTTCACCCTCCAATGGCCGCCGCAGCCAGCGTGCTGTGGCCGGCGCACCGCGCTGATCCGATGGCAGGAGCTGGGTACTTATCCTGATCTCCCATGGGGTGCAGGGCCCAAGTACTTGGGCCATCCTCCACTGCACTCCCGGGCCACAGCAGAGAGCTGGCCTGGAAGAGGGGCAACCGGGACAGAATCTGGCACCCCGACCGGGACTAGAACCCGGTGTGCCAGCGCCGCAAGGCGGAAGATTAGCCTAGTGAGCTGTAGCCCGTTCTTACAGTCTTAATACGCTTCTGGCAGTCCCTATCCATTGGCAAGGTTTCAGTACCACTGAAATGATAACAATTTTAAAATCCATCCAGAGCTCCAGATTCAGTTTTCTGCTTCTTACGGGACACTCCCAACGGTCTTCATAAAATAAACTGTCCTGGAGGGGCAGGCATTTCACCTAGCATTTATGATGCTGGCATTCATAGTCAGCTCTGACTCCTGACTTTAGCTTCCTGCTAATATACACCCTTGGATGCAGTGGTGATAGCTCAGATGGCTGGGTCACTGCCACCCAGCTGAGAAACCTGGATTGAGATCCTGGCTCTGGCTTTAAACCAGCTCAGCTAAGGCTGTTGTGGGTATTTGTAGAGTGAACCAGCAGATAGGAGGTCTCCTCTCTCTTCAAAAAAATTAATTTTTTAATTAAAAAAGTCCTAGAGTAAATTCATTTTCTAAGCCCAACATGTACATCTTCTTCATTAGACTATTTAATTTCCGGTCAGTCTAGACTTGTCCTTAGACCTCTACCTACACCTATCTATTAAAAAAAAAGTCAAACACTGAGATAAAATTTTATGCACATCAGAATGGTAAAAATCTAAAAATCTGACATTAACAATACTGAGGAAGATACAGAAATTTGCTAACCACCAGCAGGTTAAAGCCCTGGCCTGAAGCACCGGCATCTCATATGGGTGCCAGTTCTAGTCCCAGCTGCTCCTCTTCCAATCGAGCTCTTTGCTATGGCTTCGGAAAGCAGTAGAAAAAAATGGCCCAAGTCCTTGGGCCCCTGCACCCACGTGGGAGACCTGGAAGAAGCGCCTGGCTTCGAATGGGCACAGCTCTGGCCGCTGGGGTCATCTGGGGGGTGAACCAGCGGATGGAAGACCTCCCTCTCTGTCTCTACCTCTCTCTATAACTCTTTCAAATAAATAAAATAAATCTTTAAAAAAAATTTAAAAAAATCAAAATCCATTCAAGTTTTTTATGATATATTTTCCATGAACTTTTTTGATGACCCTATGTAGGCATGACTTCAAGATTTTTTGGAAGAAAAATTTGTGTTAATTCCATTTTTTGTGAAAAAATATTTTAAAGATATTTATTTAAAGGTCAGAGTTACACACAGAGAGAAGGAGGGACAGAGAGAGAAAGAGAGAGGTCTTCCATCTGCTGATTTACTCCCCAGATGGCCATAACTACCAGAACTGTGTTGATCCGAAGCCAGAAGCCAATATCTTCTTCTAGGTCTCCCATGCGGGTGCAGGGGCCCAAGGATTTGGGCCATCTTCTACTATTTTCCCAGGCCATAGCAGAGAGCTGGATCAGAAGTGGCACAACCGGGATGCAAACAGGTGCCCATATGGGATGACAGCACTGCAGGCAGCAGTTTTACCCACTATGCCACAGTGCTGGCCTCGCGGTAATTTTGAAATATCATTGCATTCAAAGATATATCAATTCTATTTTTGAGTATATACTATGAGGGGAAAGAATTTAACAATTATACACAAGAATATAACCATACTAAGGGTCTTCAAAAACTTTATGTAAAATGTACAGTATGAAAAAACTATGAGGGGCCAGTGCTGGGGAGTGAACCATTGGATGGAAGACCTCTCTCTCTGTCTATACCTCTCTCTGTAACTCAAATAAAATCAATCTTTAAAAAAAAATCTTTAAAAAAATATCAGACTAAGAGTTTAATAGAGTTAATCAAGAGAACATTTATATACACTAAGAAACAGAGCACAGCAAAGGCCAGATTCCCCAGTAAAGTGCTGACTTGGCAAAAATAACACAGGTTTTCAAAGATCGAAGATGGTTTCATGTATAATTTGAATAACCATCATTTTTCCAATCTAGAATAATGGCTAATAGCATCACTTACCATATTTAGTAATTCAGGGCCCTTGACAGATATAAAGTTTAGTCCAGACTCATTTGCCACAGCCTAGCAAGAGGGAACAAAAACCCATAATTAAGACAAATACACAATAAAATAACAACAGAAATCTGTAAAAATTGAAGTACCCTGCTTTTACCCTCCTTCTTCCTTGTTATAGTCCCCACTCCCTTTTAAATGGTTATTTCTTTTCACCTATTTGAAATGCAGAGACAGAGACAGACCAAGAGAGAGAAGGAGAGAATGAGATCTTGCACCTGCTGGTTCACTCCACAAATGGCTACAACAGGCAGAGTTAGTCCAAGGGAAAGCCAGGAACCTGGAACTCTATCTGGGTCTCCCAAGTGGGTGGCAGGAGCCCATGCACTTGACCCATCATCTGCTGCCTGGCAGGATGCTTTAGCAGGAAGTAGTGGAGTAATATGAACATGAATCAGCATCGATATGCAATGTAGGTGTCCCAAGGGGCCTGCTCTATCACAGTGCCTGCCCCATCCTTTATTTACAGAAAGGAAGAAACAAATGGAAAAAAAAGAAATGAATAGAAAGCAAATAAAAAGAAGCTTGACCTACTGTGCCACAGCATTTGCCCACAAGTTACTTCTTTTCTGCTACAAAGACAACTAACTAAAAGCAGATACAAGTAATTCAACAACAAATATCACCAAGGCACACATGAGACAGAACTGAAATTCCCCCTGGTTGATGCATACATTGTAATGTAGGACCTCCTTTCTGGCTGTTCTAACTACTATGAAAAAATGCAGAAAAACAATATCTTATTCTCTTCTTGCTCCTCTGTCCCAGCTCCCTGACAACCATGCCTTGTAAAAGTAGGCAAGAAAAATTCAGTGGGGCCAGCGCTATGGTGTAGTGGGTAAAGCCACCCACAGCCTGCAGTGTCATTATCCCATATGGGTGCTGGTTCTAGTCCTGGCTGCTCCACTTCCAATCCAGCTCTCTGCTATGGCCTGGGAAAGCAGTACAAGATGGCCCAAGTCTTTGGATCCCTGCACTCGTGTGGGAGACCTGGAAGAAGCTCTAGGCTCCAGAGAGTGAATCAGCGGATGGAAGACTGATCTCCCTCCCTCCCTCCCTCCCTCCTTCCCTCTCTCTCTCTCTGCCTCTGCTTCTCTATAACTCTTCCTCTCAAATAAATATCATGAAAGAAAGAAAGAAAGAAAGAAAGAAGAAAAGAAAAGAAAAGAAAAGAAAAGAAAAGAAAAACATAAGTAAGTTTTACACAGGGCATTATGGAAATTTGATATCTACGAAGAATCACAAATTATGTGGCTGCTATGGTATTAAGAATGCTATTAATTTCAATTTCTATGGGATAAGTAAATTATAGATGAAATTTTATACATATTTAAAATGATGGCAAAAATCCCTTCATAGACATGGAGGAGGCTTTAAAATACATGATTCCAAAGGGTAGAAAAACACAAAAGGTAGAGATATTGGCCACATAAAGTTGAGATAGACTGGATTGGGTTCCCAGATCTTGGCTTCCACCATTTGGGAAGTTAACCAGCTGATAGAAGATACTTCTCTTTCTCTGGGTAATTCTGCCTGTGGGGAGCAATCCGGACTGGACTAAGTTACTCGAATTAAGACTTATTCTATGCATCTGCTCTCCCACAATATGGCGCTGGGAGAGGAGAAAACAGCTTCTACACAGCTGCCTCCAGTTCAGCCAATAAACTGTAGGACTTGCTCCTGATTGGAGGAGAGCAGCGTACTCGGCGTGTGGGCAGCCGAGTTAGGATTGGCGGAGGAGGACTATAAAGGAGGAGAGAGACGGCATGCACCAGGAACATCTAAGGGGAACATCTAAGGGAACACCTGTGCAGCCCCCGAGAGAGCCAGCCGGCGGTGTGCCGCTCCCCTGCGGAAGTGGGGAATGTGGCAGGGGGAACTGCCCTTCCACGGAGGTGGAAGGGATAGTAGCCAACCCGGGAAGAACCAGCAGCAAACCCGGGGAGGGCCGAGCAGACGAAAGAACAGCGCAGGGTCCTGTGTCGTTCCTCCATGAAGAGGGGGAGCGACACTGCCAGTCAAATAAATAAATAAATCTTTAAAAAAAATAAAAAAAGAAAATGACACCACCTGCAAAGGCCACGATCTATCTCAGAGTACCTGGGTTCAAGTCTCAGCTCTGATTCCCATTCTAGCTTACTGCATTCAACATGCACCAAAGGAAGCAGTAGATGATGGCTCACATACTTAGTTAGGTCCCTGCCACAAAAGGGAGACCTGAACTGATTTCTGGGCTCCTGGCTTTTGCCAGGCACAGCCCTACTTGTCACAGTCATTCACAGAGTGAACCAGCAGAATTCTTCCTGTCTCTCTTCCTTTCAAATAAATAAAACTAAAAAAGAGCAAACTAAAAAACAAACAAAAACAAAAAAGAATGTGATACAAAGTATGATTATTGTTGCTTTAAAACTAAAGTAGTTAGGGCTGTGGCATAGTGGTTCAAGTGGTTCAAATCTGTGCTAGTGGTTCAAGTCCCAGCTGCTCCACTTCCAATCCACCACCCTAATGGCCTGAGAAAGCAGTGGAGTGCACCCATGTGGAATACTCGGAAGAAGTTTCTAGCTCCTGGCATTGGCCTGGCCCAGCTCCGGCCATTGCAGCCATTTGGGGAGTGAATCAGTGGATGGAAGACCTCTCTCTCTGTCTCTCCCTTGTTCTGTCTGTAACTCTTCCTCTCAAATAAATAAAAAAATGAATGAATCGTTTTACAAAATGGAGATGATAGATTTAAACATTTTTCAATGACGCTCCTTTGATAATTAAAAAAAAGTGGGAAACTTTCTTTCCTGAAGAAAGTTGTCAGTTACTTTTTATAATTGATTTTCCAATAGAAGTTACGTAAACCATTTACCTCACTATAATACATAGTTAAATTTTTATTTAACTTTTTTTTTTAGCTCCTTGATAGTAAAGTATAAAATAAATGTAGTGTACTTAAACATACCTTCGCCAGCAGAGTTTTCCCACAGCCAGGAGGACCAGCAAGGAGGACTCCAGCTGGGGTCATTAACCCAAGAGCTTTGAACTGGTCTGGGTTCCGAACTGGTGCCTGGAAAGCACAATGGCAATGCTGATCAGTCACAGGTGTCCGTTCTACACTGAACATTCAAGTGATCTCCAGACACTTGTTTTCAACCCTGATGCTAAGCCAGCAGATACGAATAATGCCTGACTTCTGCTCACCTCTGCAATAGACATGGAATATACAGTAATAAAAAAAAGAAGCTGCTTGAGGAATTGACACTTAAATATAAGTTCTCAGAACACCTTAGAAATGAAGATGAGGGGGCCAGCACTGTGGGGTAGTGGGTAAAACCGCTGCCTGCAGAGCTGGCATCCCATATGGGTGCCGGTTTGAGTCCCGGCTCCTCCACTTCTGATCTACCTCTCTGCTATGGCCTGGGAAAGCAGTGGATGGCTCAAGTGTTTGGCCCCCTGCATCTGTGTAGGAGACCCAGAAGAAGCTCCTGGCTCCTAGTTTTGGATGGGCTCAGCTCCAGCTGTTATAGCCATTTAGGGAGTGAACCATCAGATGGAAGACCTTACTCTCTCTGCCTCTCTGTAATTCTGCCTTTCAAATAAATAAATAAATCTTTACAAAAAAAGAATTCTACAAATTATTAGAAAAAGAAATAAAAATAGAGTTATTTCAAAATTTGAAACTCAAGATGTTTTAGAAAACCATCCATACTTTCAGTTACAAAAGTTGAGGTAATGACCTCCTCTAAGAAATCAAAAGCAGAGACTGGCATTGTGGCATAGCAGATAAAGCTGTCACCTGTTATGCTAGCATTCTGTAAGGGTCCCAGCCACTCCATTTAAGATCCAGCTCCCTGCTAATGGCCTGAGAAAAGCAGTAGAGGATGGTCAAAGTCTTTTAAGAGTCCTGGATGAAGCGCCTGGCTCCAGCAGGGCCCAGCACTGGCTGTTGTGGAATCTGGGTAGTGAACCAGAGGATGAATATCTTTCACTCTGTCTCTCCCTCTCTTTAACTGTGACTTTCAAATAAATCAAATAAACTTTTTAAAAAAAAATAAAATCAGAAGCAGCCATACACTTTACATAGCCAAAAGCAGGAGATACTTGTTCACTGCTATCCTGGTGTATACTAGTTTTGTAGTATATGCCTCTAAAAGGAACATAATTAATGAACCATGTGATCATCAATAAAGTAGAAAGTGAAAATGAATAAAAATTTGTGATGGAATGAGAAGGCCATGCCAAGATGGCCACTGGCAAGTGAGTGAAACCACCTGGGAAACCACCTGGCAACAGAGCCTGCCTGGCAACAGGCTGTGACTGGTTAGGGGATAAACTGTCCCTTAACCGGATTGGCTGCCTTGGCTATCTAAGCTGCTGTACCAACTGAAATAAACGAGTCTGTAGGCTTCTCGCCTATAGCCCGCTTTTACCCGACTCCCGGGGTCTGTGTGGTGACTCCACGCCTCTTGCCTCTGCCACGCTCCACCTCTCAGAATGAATCTACAGCAACAAAAATTAATCTACAGTTTCATGGGAATTAAAATTGTCTTTGGAAGCCTTGGTTGTGGTGCAGTGGATTAAGCTACCACCTGCAACACAGGAATCCCATAGTGGTGCCAGTTTGAGTTCCAGCTGCTCCACTTCCAATCTACTTCTCTGCTAACCTGCCTGGGAAAGCAGCAGAAGACATATGAAGTATTTGAGCGCCTGCCCCCTTGTGGGAGACCCAGATGGAGTTCCTGTTTCCTGGCTTTGGCCTGGCCCAGCATGGGCTATTGCAGCCATTTGGGGAGTCAACAAGTAGATATAAGATCTGTCTCTCCATGTATCTCTGAAATTCTTTCAAATAAATAAATCTTTTAACAAACAACAACAACAACAGAATAACTTTTGATCTTTAAGGGTATGACTGAATTCAAAAGCAGATCCTGGGGCCGGAGTTGTGGCTTGGTAGGTAAAGGCGCTACCTATAATGTTAGCATCCTATATGGGCGCCAGTCCGTGTGCTGGCTGCTCCACTTCTGATCTAGCTCCCTGCTAATGGCCTGGAAAAAGCAGTAGAAGATGGCCCAAGTACTTGGGCCCCTGCCACCCATAAGGGAGACCTAGATGAAGCTCTTGGCTCCAACCTTGGTCATTGCAGCTGTGTAGCAAGAGAACCAGCAGATGGAAGATGACTTTCTCTCAGCCTCTCCCTCTCTAAATCTTTCAAATAAATATATAAACCTTTAAAAAAAAAAAGAAGTAGTAGTTCCCAACTGAGCCTTAATGGAAACCTAAACTTCTGTGTTTTAATTCAACGATACAGATGTGAAGCACAGGGGCTGGCACTGCGCTGGGCTGCTACATACGCACCCCACACTGGAGCAGTGGTTCATGTCCCTGCCACTCTGTTACAATTCAGCTTCCAGCTAATGCACCTGGGAAAGCACAAGATGCCCCAGTGGCTGGGCGTAAGCCACCCACATAAGAGACCCTGACGGAATCCTGGCTTTGGCCTATCCAAATATCCTTTGGCTGTTATGGGCATTTCTGGAGTGAACCAGTGGATGGAAGATCTCTCTCTGACTCCTCCTTACTCTGTCAGCCTTGCCTTTCAAATAAAAATACAAATCTTAAAAAAAAAAAAAAAAGGCAAAAGAATCAGTATTAAAAAAAAAAATCCTACTCTTGGGAGCTTTACATTCAGAAGAGAACGTACCATAAGGAAAATTTAGACACACAACCTAGCACACAAGCATGTGGCTCAATCTCCTTCCAGTCCTTAACCCAACTTATGCCAAAGACATTTAGCAGCCAATAAACCTACCAATATTGCCATGGTGAGCTCTTCTCTTATGTCTTCCAGGGCACCAACATCTGCCCACGTCACACTAGGGACAGTGACAAAGCCTTCTCTTTTGGCAGATGGCTGGACTGATGACAGAGCAACAGTGAAATCATTCAATTCAATGCACAGTCCTTGCATCTGCTCGTCTGAGAGGGGAGTGTGGTCTCTTAGCAATTCCAACAGCCTCTGTAATTCATCCTTAAAGAGAGCAATAGAGGGGAAAAGATTAAAAACTATATAGCTTTTTAAATGGTTACATTTTTATATCTTTAAGAATTATTATGGGGTGGGTATTTGAGACACCAGGTAGGATGCCCGTATTCCATACTGGAAAGCCCGGGTTTGAGTGTCTGCTCTGCTTCCCCCAATTCCAGCTTTCTGCTAATGTACCCTCTTGGAGGCAGCAGAAGATGGTGAAGTGACTGGGTCCCTGACACCATGTAGGTGGTATGAGCTGAGTCCCTAACAATCACCTTCAGCCTGTCCCAGTCCTGGACATTGTGGGCATTTAGGAGTACACTAGCAGATGGGAGCATTATCTCTAAAATAAACACATAATTTTTTAAAAAATCGCTACTGGGGCCAGCGCTGTGGCATAGCGGGTAAAGGCAGTGCCAGTTCTAGTTCCAGCTGTTCCACTTCCAATGCATCTCTCTGCCATAGCCTGGGAAAACAGTAGAAGACGGCCCAAGTCCTTGGGTCCCTGCACCCATGTGGGAGACCTGGAGGAAGCACCTGGCTCCTGGCTTCAGATCGGCGCAGCGCCGGCCATTGCACTCAAATGGGGAGTGAACCAACAGATCACTGTCTCTCCTTCTCTCTCTCTGTAACTCTGCCTTTCACATAAATAAATAAATCCTTTTGTGTGTAGAAACTGGTATTTATTTTCTGTCAACCTCATTTCCATGTCTGTTTCAAAGACTGTGGAAAGCAGCTTACGACCACTCAGTGGTTGTTTCTACAAACTCAGGGGCCTAGGCAGTGGGCACTGTGGACCAGTCTTCAGTGGTGGGCTAAGCACTCCAGTCTTCAGTGGGGGACGGCTGAATAGGCAGAGGGCACCTATACACCTTCAAACCAGTCTGCAACCTCAGGCTGAGCAGCAGTGAACTCAGGTGCTGGGGCCATCCATTCACCCTGAAACTCCTCTGTGGTCACAGGTCTTTCAGCAGTGGCCTGCTCTTCTTTTTCAATCTCTTCAAGATCTCTGGAGAAGTAGAGATCAGGCATGACCTCCCAGGGGTGTTCACGGGAGATCGTATCATGCATGCGCAGAATCTCCTGGGCCAGCATCCACCACATCAGACCCACTGAGTGGGCTCCCTTGTTGCATGGGATGGCAATGTCCACATCACACAGAGGACAGCCTGTGTGACACGGAGCAATGGTAGGCAGGTTCACATGAGACGCCTCTGTGAGAGGCTGGTGGTCAGCCCTGGGATCAGGAACCACCAGAAGCTGAGGCTCCTGGAAGGCTGTTTGGTTGCAGTTAGTGAGGTTCCGGGTGTGAAGCAGCCAGCAATAGGAGTAGCTCCAGTGGCAGCAGCAAACTTCAGCACAGCCCGCTGGCCAGTGTTCCTGGAGGTTATCACACTGACATCAGCAGGGTTTTCATTGGCCACAATAGCACAAGCTGCCAACAGAAGCTTCTCCCAGGTCCTCTTCAGATTTTCCTTCTGTAGATGTACTGTTCCATTTGGAAGTCAAGGTTGGGCCACCTAGGTGGGTTCCTGCTGCAAGGAATTTGAAGAAGTCCTCCTCCTTCATTCGCAAGACATCAAGGCTCTGAACATTATAACAGCTTCCCCTTAAGTTACACCAGGAATCATGAACAACGCCATATGGGTCCCTTGCAGGATAGCACAGAAAGGAATAAATAAATCTTAAATATATATATATATTTACTTGAAAGGCAAAGATAAAGAAAGGGAGAGAGAAAAATAGATCTTCCATCTGCTAGTTCACTCCCCAAATGGCTGCAATGGCTGGAGCAGGGACAGCCCAAAGCCAGGAGACTGGAACACTTCCAAGTCTCTCATGTGGGTAACAGAGGCCGAATTACTTGGGTCACCTGCTGCTGCTTTCCCATTTGCATTAGCAGGGAGCTGGATCAGAAGTGGAACATATATGGGATGCAGATGTTGCAGGTGGCAGCTTAACCCATTGTGTCACAACACCAGCCCAGTTCGCTTTATTCTGAATGGATCAAATAACTTGGACAAGTATATGTACACCAACTGTAATCCAGTAGGTAGGAAGATATCTGTATATTACACTTGGGTGACATACAGCAAACAAAAGAAATTAAAAACACTTATTTAATCAATCATGATATTTCCCATTTCATTTATATTCATGAAGCAGATGTATTTTGATGAAATCACAACAAAGTTACTCTGGTACTCTTCTTTCATTATATGCTTTCTTGATGGCTTATCAACTTAGCAGAGATTACGCAAATTTCCTAGCACTATTGCATCTTGATGTTCAAAGGCAGGTTTCTTACTTTGTGAAAAACATGCAAGGAAACAAAAAAAATTTACAAACTGAAGTAGTTCAATTTGTAAATTCCCAGATTATCATTTTATTTTAAAAGAAGTTATTTGAAAGCAATAGCAAGATTCAAGTCCCTGTTTTATAAAGTAGAGGCTATGTGACCTTGGGCAAGTCATCATCTCAGGCTTAGTGTCTTTGAGTGTAAAGGGGTAAAATAATGTATTTACTTCACAAGGTTATATGGTTCAAATTATATAACATACAGAAGCCATGGTACAAAATATAAAATGCTATATAAATATTGTATTAATATTCCATAACTTAGAAAACTTGAAAAATTTAATAGTGATCTTGGACTGATAAACTTCCCTCTCACATTCAGAAAACAGCTCTCTAGTGCTGTTTGTAGCTAAGGAGCTGGTTTCGTCAGCACTTTCCTGCATGCCGAATCAAAAGTTAACCAGGAAATAAACTTAGACGGCAGTGCTCTCAGAGGAGCTGCTAAACTTCTGTAAAGGACTAAATCTCATCTGTACTGACTTGCTGGAATGTGAGATAACACAGAGAACATTTAAAGGGCAGGTTCGAGGGCCTTCACAGAAAGCACCTGTGTGACAGAAGTGGGCTCAGTTCCCAGTGGCTCCTCCTGGCCAACTTCAGTTTTCAGATGTTTCTGCTGCTGTTGCTGAAGCTTCATTAGGCCCCTATTGACGGCACACATGGCAGCTTCCCGGCAGAGCGCCATCAGATCAGCACCCACAAAGCCAGGCGTTAGGTGTGCTAAGTGACAAAAGTTAAAGGTTTCAGGAAGTCTCAGTTTTCTACACAAAGTCTGAAGTATCCTGTGGAAAAGACAGGGAAAATTTTTCAGATTCCAAATTAATAGTAAAAACAAGCCACCAGCTATATTACTCTGAAGCCTTTCATCCTCATCAGGGGCATCCCAATGGGTAGCATGTAAGATCAGATCTCATTCATTCACTCCTCAAACGCTAAACGCTATTACATAGCCCCTGTTATTCAAGGATTATGGCAAAGAATTTCCTTTGTTAGGGACTACAGTAATTACTTTGAGGAATACAGATCAATTCTTTTAAAAAACACTCTGCCTTTAAGAACTTCGCAATATGACAGAGACGAAGTAATATGAATAAATTTATAGGACTATCTTTAGAGTAGATTAAATCAACATCTACCAGAAATAAAAGCCTCGACATACAAATAAACCATTTGAATAAATAAAATGAATTTAATAAAAAAATTAATTTCATTATCACAAAAAGCTAGCTTCATACATGCTTTCACATCCAAGTTTGTATTAGAACAATTACTTCTCCAACTTCATTTTAATATGTTGTTCATGCCTTGTATTGCATGCCTAAAAAATTATTTTTAAAGATTTATTCAGGCCGGTGCCATGGCTCACTTGGCTAAACCTCTGCCTGTGGTGCCAGCACCCCGGGTTCTATTCCCAGTTGGGGCACTGGATTCTGTCCTGGTTGCTCCTCTTCCAGTCCAGCTCTCTGCTGTGGCCCGGGAGTGCAGTGGAGGTGAACCAACAGAAAAGGAAGACCTTTCTCTCTGTCTCTCTCTCTTTCTGTCTAACTGCCTGTCAAAAAAAAAAAGAAGTAGTTCAGCTGGGAACAGACCTTGTGGCACAGCAGGTGAAGGCACTCTTTGAGATATCTACATCCCAAATGTGAGCCCCAGGGACTGAGTTCTGCCTCTGCTTCTCATCCAACTTGCAGCTACGATAGTCCATCTTTTTAAAATAATTTAAAAGATTTTTGAAAGATTTATTTATTTAATTGAAAGGCAGAGTTACACAGAGAGAGGAGGGGCAGAGAGAGAGAGAGAGAGAGAGAAAGGTTTTCCATCCAATGGTTCACTCCCCTGTTGGCTGCAATGGCCGGAGCTGCACTGATCTGAAGTCAGGAGCCAGGAGCCAGGAGCAGGAGCTTCTTCCAAGGCTCCCATGTGGGTGCAGGGGCCCAAGCCCTTGGGCCATCCTCTACTGCTCTCCCAGGGCAAAGCAGAGAGCTGGATCAGAAGAGGAGCAGCCAGGACTGGAATGGGTGCCCATATGGGATGCTGGCGCTTCAGGCCAGGGCGTTAACCCACTGCACCACGGAGATGGCCCCATAAATAAATCTTAAAAAAAAAAAAAAAAAATCGATCTCTCCCCCACTGCCTTTAAATAAGTTAAATGAATTTTAAAAAATTCCTTAACTAAATTTCTACCTCACTACTTAAACAGTACTTCCCGAGACATACTCTGTTACTGAGTCCTAGTTTTGGCTACTATTGGACATTTACTGGCTTTACAGACATTCAACCCCAGTTCCAGGGAAGGCTGATCTTGCTGCATAGACAGTTAGCTTTAATTCTCTGGCTGTCATTTAATTATTTTTCAGGGCTCCCGTGGTCTTAGGCAGGCTCAAGTATAGCACTCACACTGAACTTCTCTGTGGAACACATGGCCCTGCTCTTTCAAAGCTCTAGATAATGTCCCTAAGCTGGTCAGTCAACTAAAAATCACAGCCAATGTTGATAAGACCACACAAATGAGTATGGACACAGAAGCCCATTATCACCACTAAAAAAACCTGAGACAATTATTCTCCTGATGAGTAAACTGTTTCCTTTTTTCTTTTTTTTAAAAAATATTTATTTATTTGAAAGGTGGCATTAAAGAGAAAGGAACAGAGACACACAGACAGAGAGAGCTTCCATTTGCTGTTTCACTCCCCAAATAGCCACAATGGCCAGGGCTGGCCCAGACTAAAGCCAGGGGCCAGAAGCTTCATCCAGGTCTCCCATGTAGGTGGAAGGGGAACAAACAGATCATCTTCTACTGCTTTCCCAGGCACATTAGCAGGGAGCTGGATTGGAAGTGGAGCAACCAGGACACAAACTGGTACCCATATGGGATGGCATTGCTGAATGCAGTAGCTAAATCTGCTATGCCACAATGCCAGTCCCATAAATTGTTTTCTTAAGCATTAATTAATGTGGGCTTTTTCCATTCTCAGTCAATTTCACTGCTAAAACAAGAAAGAGAAAGAGAGAGAAAGAGAGAGAGAG